AAATAAATAAAATTCTTTAAAAAAAAAAATCCTAAATTTAGAAAATCTATAGCAATCAACCTTGTGGAAGTATAAAATAATTGCATTTAAATTGATTTCTAATAGGCACAGATAATTTAGCAATGGGACAGGGCAAGAGCCCACACCGATCAGGAATGAACTGCTCTCTGCCTGTCTGTCTGCCCCTCTGCCTGTCCATCTGCCCTGTGCTTGGTCCTGTCGTCCTTCCTGGTCGCCCGCCCTCAGAGATGAGGTGTGTGGGAGTCAGGCCGGGATGGAAGCCTCTTCCATCAGGTGTGTACTGCTGCTCAGCATAAAGCCCACAACTTGAACTTGATGCTCATGGCTTTTTGTTGTCTTTAGGGCCTTTTCCGAATTGGGGCTGGGGCCTCCAAGTTAAAGAAACTGAAAGCTGCTTTAGACTGTTCTACTTCTCACCTGGATGAGTTCTACTCTGACCCCCATGCTGTCGCAGGTGAGCTGCAAGGAGTCGCCCTCAGGGGGGTGGGTCCCGTCTCAGACAGATCACCAGTTAAAAATCCAATGTTCATTTTCAGATTCAGAGAAAATTGAAATGGTCTCCCTATGTAGGTTTAACTAGACAAGCTGAAATGACAAATAAAACTGAATAAGGGTACACACACACATACACCCCATTTCCTGTTTTGGGGGGTTTCTTTGTTTTCCTGATTATTAAGTAAAGGTGAAGGTAGCTTCTAACCCAAACATTTGGAGACCTGCTTGTATTTCCTTCCCTTCTTTCTCCTTCACAGTCTAGATCTTCCTGGGGAAATGATGTCCATTAGAAGGTGACTTTGAAGCTAATTTTATTTTCTACTGACCCGTCAATCTATTTTGCAAGGGCCGGAATTTGTTTTAGGAACACTCCATGCTCTAACTGCTCCTGCTGATTCATAGATTGTTATAGATATTCTTGGCAGGTTGTAATTGAGATCATTTCAATTTGTAAAAAATAATATGTCCTGAGATTCCCAGGCTTACCCCTTGACATACTCAAAGTGAGTGTTAACAATTTCAGGTGCTTTAAAGTCCTATTTACGGGAACTGCCTGAACCTTTGATGACTTTTAATCTGTATGAAGAATGGACACAAGTTGCAAGGTAAGTTTAAAGAACACTGAGTTTTCGGGCGCCTGGGTGGCTCAGTTGGTTAAGCGACTGCCTTCGGCTCAGGTCATGATCCTGGAGTCCTGGGATCGAGTCCCGCATCAGGCTACCTGCTCAGCAGGGAGTCTGCTTCTCCCTCTCCCGCTCCCCCCTCTTGTGCTCTTTCTCTCTCTCACTCTCTCTCTCAAATAAATAAATAAAATCTTTAAAGAACACTGAGTTTTCAAAGTTAAAGGAAATGATGGGATATTACGTCCCCTTTGTGAATCATCTTACTCTCAGGGCTCATAAAATAACATTAAAATAGCACACGTGTTAAATAATATGTGCCTCAGTTCTTACGTGTCGGGTGAGAATATTGAGTATTATTATTAGCGTGGGAGAGTCAGCACTTAGGCATTGGCTTCAATTTGCGTGATGTTTGTGGATGAAGACATATAGTGGGACCTGCGTTCATAGACCCCTTTTAGATGGAAGAAAGCCCTGTCTTGGGGACAGGTGTCATACCGACCAGCGGCAATGTGCCTGGCGAGCCGCGGGAAACTCAGCTGTGCAGTAAACAGTGTTGACGGTACTGGTGATGGTTGTTAACGCTTACTGTGTGCTCAGTACATACTAATCTTGGTACCCGTTACCTCCTATCATCCATGATCAATGACATAAAAGACAGATGTGGTTAGCCTCATTTTCCAGACACGGAAACTGAGGCTGGGGGAGGCACGGGGCCCAGGGAACAGCGAGTAATTGGCAGAGCGGGAATTCAGACCCAGACCTGTCTGCCCCAAAGACTGTGTCCCTGTCCTTTGCTCCTTCTCCCCCGCCCCCGGCTTCCGTGTGTCTAGGAGCTGTTGGCAGCCTTGTCCACCAAGTCCCAGAGGCTTCTCTCTGGCCGGCCAGGCTGCCTCCTTATTAGCTTGTGCCTCATGGTTCTGACTCACGTCCTCCCTCAGGGGCCTAATTCCTCAGCCCTAAGGGAGGAAGAACAGATCTCCCTTCCCCTCCTACCTTTCCCCTGTCACCCGTTCCCAGCAGATGGGCTGCAGGGTCTATTCAGTTAGGCTTCAGTGGCAGGTGGCTCTACCCTGGTTGGTAAGGCTTTTAAAGTCAGAGTAAGGGGTGCCTGGGTGGCTCCGTCGGTTAAGTGTCTGCCTTCGGCTCAGGTCATGATCCCGGGGTTCTGGGATTGAGTCCCACGTCGGGCTCCCTGCTGAGCAGGGAGCCTGCTTCTCTCTCAGCCTGCCGCTCCTCGAGGCCACTGTGTGCGCTCTCTCTCTCTGACAAATAAGTAAAAACTCTTAAAAAAAAAAAAAAAAGAGTACGTTCGTAGTCACGGTTATATCCTTAGAACCTGCGTGTGGCCCAACCTCTTGTCAGCGTCCACGTTTCTGGGGCTGAATAAACGGAGCCTAACAGCAGTGTCAAGTAGAAGAGCATTCGGGGTCTCCTCTATTCGGTAGCCTGCCCCACTCCTCCTGCACCTTGATTCGTCTCTCGGCTCTGAGACTCCCAACAGCGTTCCCGTGAGAAAATACTCTCTTCGAAGCAGGTATCTGTTTATGGATGTCTTGATTCTCCATACGTGAGAAATGTCAGCATCCCGGTGGCCCATCGACTGGCCTCTAACGTATAATTATGTTTACCCCCTACCTGTCACTCCAGATGGGTCCAGTTGTGGAGGACGTTTTAGGTCCAAGGGTGTGCTATGTGGGCAACAGCTAACGCCCTCTCCTGCTGGCGGGCATCGGTGACTGACCTCACCTGGCCCTCTTTTGTCGATGGAAGTTTGCATGTGGAAGCCGTAGAGCAGAGGAGCCCCTGCGATTGCTTCACGACAGGAAAGGGCTGCTGGGCCTGGAGCCTTTGAGCAGAGTTAAGGGCAGGGAAAGGCACGGGGGGGTCTGGGTGCCCAGGAGCGTGGCCAGCTCACCTGTGGCTGGGTCAGCAAGAGATCTGGGCTCCAGCAAGCCGCCTGTGGAGATAGGCACCTGCCTAGACAGAATTTTCAGCGGTGTCTGTCTCCTCTGTGCCAGGTATGTTTCTAAGGTTATGCCTCTGGAACCTCCCCGTCACTTGGCAGAATCAACTTCTTTTTTTTTTTTTTTTTTTTTTAGATTTTATTTATTTATCAGAGAGAGAGAGCACAAGCAGGGGGAGCGGCAGGCAGAGGGAGAAGCAGGCTCCCCACTGAGCAGGGAGCCCAATGCGGGACTCTATCCCGGGACCCTGGGATCATGACCTGAGCCGAAGGGCAGACTCTTAACTGACTGAGCCACCCAGGCGTCCCCAGAATCAACATTCTTATCCCCAGGCGGGCACTTCAGGAGACCGAGTCTTGGCAAGGCTAACTCACTGCTCAGAGTGAAAGATTTAGTTGGTATTTGACTCCAAATGTATTTACTTCCAAATCCGTCCCGTTTTCCAGCCGTGTTTTCCCTGTCAATGAAAGCATCGCTGTTAACATAGCCTGTTATTTACTCAGGGGTTACTAATGATGTGTCTTAATGGAGGCTTATGAATACAGGTTTGGTTTTTTTTTTTCCCTCAGTGTGCAGGATCAAGACAAAAAACTTCAGGATTTATGGAGAACATGTCAAAAGTTGCCACCACAAAATTTTGTTAACTTTAGGTATGTATGACCGGCATCCTGCAAATTAAGCCAGCAAACCACAGTGACTCTGGAGCGAAGAATGGTGCCATCTGCAGCAGAAGTCATCCAGTCCAAGCCCACTAAACAAGTGCTTTGGAGAGGACTGGGGGTTGCTGGGAATGGGATTTTGATGTATGTTATTGTGATGCATATCACCGTGTGGTGCATCCGCATCGCGTCTGCCTTAACAGCTAAGTCCCCTGGTCAGTTTACCACTGCAGCTACTAGGAGGAAGTTCTCATGGAGAGTTGGCTTCACTGCGTGATGGCTTTGGAGTCTAAATTGTCCAGTATGGGGGTCTCCTGGCTGTCTCAGTCAACCTACAACTCTAGATCTCAGGGTTGTGAGCTCAAGCCCTACATTGGGCATAGAACTTACTTAAATAAATTAAAAAAAAAATAAATTGTCCAGTATGTAAAAGGAAAAAATTAATCAATAATTCTATTTTCTGCAATAGCTTTTATATATGCTATATAATTTATTTTTAATAGAGCATAAATCATCCTATTAAATGAAATGTCTAGAACTGGAGATTATGTATTGCTTTGTGGAATTACTGTTTCTAAGAAAATTAACCGGGGAATACATTTCTAGAATTTCACCTCTATTTTCCTTTCGACCTAAAATGTGACGTTGAAGAAGCATAAAGAGAAGAAGCCCAAAGTATTGAAAACCAAAGAAAATTTTATAAGAGGACTTGGTCCAAAATGACAAATATTCTACTGGTGAAATTTCTGTCATGTTACCTGACCTTTAATTTCAGTCCCGGGTTCTACCACTAAATTAAGCTAAATACTCCCTCTGGACACCTTAAATATCAACTTTGCCTTAACGAATACATTAATATTTATAATATCCCTCTTTGATTCATTCAGCACACCCAGCTAGGAATTACAGATAGTCTTAGATTATTCCGTGCCTTATGTTGGAAACTGAATTACAATTCTTGGTAATTTGGGATTTGGTCTCTTATTTTATTTGTTTTACTCTTTATAATTTTGACTATTTTTTGAATAGGGAGCACATTCCCATGGTTCAGAATTCAAAAGGTGTCCAGTGAAAAATCTCTCACATATACACACATACATATATTTGTTGCTCTCACACTCCTCCCTTTTATTTTGAAACCAAATGGTAGTATATATTGTATACATCATTCTCTTCACCTTCTTTGCGGAGTAGACATCCTGAAGATTTTTCCATATCAGTACATAACAATTTTTTATGGCTGTATGGATATATTTTATTAAATCAGCCCCCTATTAATAGATAGTGGGGTTATTCCTAATTTTTTGTTTTTATACTGCTGTGCTTGTATAGGAGAGACTATAACTATATGATCAATTGGAGATTTTCATAATTACCACATAAAATATTTTCCAATACAGTTTCCTTTAAGCAATGTCCCTCTGCTTGTATTTTTTTATGTTTGTATTAAAACATATCGAGCCCACTGTTAATCAGATTGTAGTTTACTGAGGGGTTGATAGATAGGGCATAAAGGAGAAATGGGTTGGAAATACACAGCAGATAGGGATTGAATTGTGGAGGTTTTCTTGTGAGCTGTTTTCCTCTTCCAACCCCTAACGGAGTCTGTTGTCTGAAACAGAGAGCACAGGACTTTGTAAGATACAGAACCTGAGCCAGATTCTGATTCAGCGCCACTCTGCACTTAGCACCTGAGCAACCTGGGACTGAGCACTGGGGCAGGAGGATGCTGTTCCTGCAAATATTTTCCTTTCTCTTTTCTCCCGCAGGTATTTAATCAAGTTCCTTGCAAAGCTTGCTCAGACCAGCGACGTCAATAAAATGACTCCCAGCAACATTGCAATTGTGTTAGGCCCTAACTTATTATGGGCCAAAACTGAAGGGTAAGTGACCTTTCCCCATCTCACGGTATTTTAATCTCCCCTTTGCACCGCAGGGGGACAGACCCCCATTCCAGGGTAAGATGCACTTCCAGAGTTGCGCTTCTGAACCTGGTCTTTCCACGTAGCCGACATTCTCGGAACACTGCTGTGAGCTGAGTCCCATCCCAGATGCTGGTCACGCACACAGTCCTCAGAGGGTCCCGCTCTTGGGCAGTCAGGCAGATGAACGGCTGTGGCACTGTGACAGAGCCCCACACACATGTCCGTGCACGTGGGGGTGCTGCCATAGACATTATAAAGTACTACGGCCACAGTACTTACCGAAGGAACACAGCTCAAGCTGAGAAGTGCAGGGAGAGCCCTGCAGAGGAAAAGGCGCTTGGGTTGTACTTGGATGAATAGCTCCCTGCAGGTGCGACCCCAATAAGCAAAGGCAGTGTGGGCGTGAAAGGGACTGGTTGCTAATTTGGAGGTGGGGGTGGTGTCACATGGTCTTGTATAACCTGAGCACAGGGGCCAGGAGACTGTGCCAGAGGATTATGAAGCCAGAGCCAGGTTCTGAACGGCCTCATACCTCGCTGAGGTTTTGGAATTGATTTTGGGTCATCAGTGGTTGGGGAGGCATCAAGGTTTCTAAGCAGAAGAATGAGTTAATCAGACTGCATTTAAAAATATAATTTGGGGGCACCTGGGTGGCTCAGTCATTTAAGCATCGGCCTTCGGCTCAGGTCATGATCCCGGGGTCCTGGGATCGAGTCTCACGTTGGGGGTCCCTGCTCAGCGGGGAGTCTGCTTCTCCCTCTCCCTCTGCCCCTCACCCCACTCATGTGCTCTCTCTCTCTCAAATAAATAAATAAAATCTGTTCCAAACCAACTTAAAATCAGCATTTGGACACACCATTGTTCACCAGCTCACTTGCTGTTAACACAGCGCATGCAGACTAAAGAGTGATAGCTGAGTCGGGGTGATTTTCCTCCTGGGGCATCACCACCACATGCTGAGGCCAGAGCCCCGTGGATCTGGTTTTTGCATTTGTGCTTAAATATTTTCTTGTTTTAAAGTAATTCAATTGGGGGTGCCTGGGTGGCACAGTCGGTTAGGTGTCGGACTCTTGGTTTTGGCTCAGGTCATGATCTCCAGGTCCTGGGATCGAG